CTCCTCGCGTTTCATCGCTTTTAATCCGTTCTCGAGCATACGGGCTCAAGATCGTTCGTACATCGTGGCGAATTGATCTTTTACGAGAACAGATTTGCCACTAAACACGAGCCCTTCGTGTATATACACAGAGGTTGCATGGATATCACTAGGAACATATGTGCTGACGACCCCAAAGATATGTAAAGCCCATCGACTTCATAGGATATATATCGTGCGGGCCACCTGCTTCACAATAAAAATTTCCTCGTAGTATAATCGTGCGTTCTACCATTTATTTTATTAATAATTAGTCAGTATATTCAATCGATACAATACAATTTTTATGAAGTTTAATTATCTCATTTAACAAACTGAAAAACATTTTTAAATGACAACATGAAAAGAACAGTTTTGCTGAAGTATCTAAAAATTTACTAGATGCCAATCAGAAAATAATTTTGTCAGGCTATCCAAATAATTATATAGGGCACTCAAGTTAGTTGCTAGAATATCAAAACTTTTTACAATATTGATCATCATGTTTCAAATCTGTATCTTACTAAAATTTTAAATACTTCAGCAAAACCGTTCTTTCCTAAAATTTATGTATATAATCAAGGAGGAAAAAAAATTATTATAGATACATTTGAAGAATATTTGTCGATGCTACACTACATTTATTTCATTAAGTAATCGGCAAAATTTATCTTCTTTAAGATTTTTGTATTTATTTTCCATAAATTTTTCAGATGAAAATTAAAATAGTCGGTTGAGAAGCTAAAAAATAATATCGTAGGGGATCGAGAAAGTGTATTTTTCGGCATCGCGCCTGTCGAACAAAAGTCACCCTCCGTAACGTTTTTACCTCGACGAATTACTTCACAATGGATACAGCGACCCCTTTCGAGCTCAATTCTTTCCCCTTCGCGAGCAAACTTCTCTCTCTCTTTCTATACACAAAACATAATTATTCGAAATCCCAAACAGCATGAAAATTTTATTATCAGCGCTTTGATAGACGTAGTCCATTAGAATATCGGCCGATGATTAATCCTTATATGACGAAGGGTTGGAAGATATAACAGAAAATCTGGAAGGATAATTTCTATCACGGCGTAATTCCATACAATAATTACAAATCTTATTATCTCTATTATATTCTTTTATAAATAAATTTAAATATATCTTAAACTGTTTCCATTTTTAGGGGGGGATAAATTTAAAAACTTATATAATTATGATTTATAAAAGTAATAAAGAGTGAGAATTATTCTTTCATGGAAATTTAATACTAGTACTAACCAATTAATCACTTATTCACTTATTAAAAGTACTATTAACAGTAAAAAAAAATACTAGTATTAAATTTCTATAAGAATTATGTCCATGAATCCAATTATGTTATATAAAAATCCGAGATTTATTTCTTGAACTCATCGACATTTAACAAAGATTTCAAAAACAGTAGTCTCTTGCTAAATTGAACGGCGAGATGAAAACGAACAAATTGCAGATTTTTGCCCTAAACACTGCTATTCGATTGTGAGAATATACCTTAATCGCAAAGCACGCGGCTCCAAATGTCACATACGTGTACGGTCGTCACATCGAGATAGGTAATCGCCGAGATGCACGAGTCGCGATAAGAGGCCTCGAAACGGCAGTTAAAGTCGATTGTACCGTAACGTTCGTGTACGATATGAAATATTTAATTCTATCGTGACGATTACAACGTCATACGTAACCGCGGGCGAGGGACTACGATGATTACATTTACTTTTGCAAGATAGAGAAAGGGGGACAATCGTTCGCGTTACCATCAGTTAACAATGTTCGTGTTAGTATTACTGCGAAAAATCGAGGGGCTCGTTACGGTGAAAAATCTAAAGGAATTTCTCCCGCCTCATACTTGTAATTATACTTGCAAAAGTTACACGCTAATTAAAACTTCGACCACGCGACGTTAATAATTATATTTTGCGTTCGAACCCGCAACTTTTGTCATTTCGTTTCGTTAATTAACGATAATTAGTAATTAAACCATCTGCGCAAGTTGTTAGTTGATTTTATTCTTTCGGATTATTTAACGGTTTGATTACTTAATTTCGAATTATAATATTTTATGTATTTTTTACTTGAAATACTCATAAATCAGGTTTGAAATCTTTCACACCTTCTTTTGGATATTTACGGCCATCGTATATTCATTTAATTAACTTTGTCTTTAAGAATGTCTCATAAAAGTTATTCGCTTATGCAATTAACTTCTATTACACTCTGCGCTCAAGAACGACGTAAAGTGATTACAAGCCGCTCTATTTTCTCAGAAATAACTCATGTAAGCCGCATAACTTATATGAAGTTCACGCTCGAGCCTCGTGCGACGTAGTTGCTTCTATTTCGTAACGTGTTTAAGCTAACGAGTACTCGAGCGAGTTGTACAGAAAGCACGGGCGTCGTTAAAAATGCATTCTCGCGTGACGCTCCTTGCCATTATGAGGCTCCGCCGTTACCACTGCTCGCAATTTTCGTTCTTTTTTTTTTCGCTATGAATACCGTTTGATACGCACGAAATCGATAAGCCGCGACATATGCCGATTTTTAAATAACATCCCTCCAATAGATTGCCCACAGCGAACAACTTGTTTCGATGCTGAAGTGAAACCGTAAAACTCTGTATTAATGTCACGCTAATGAGCGTGGCATCTGCAAAGCGAATTTTACAAGTATGCTTTTTGCAATTGTGATGGTTATTAGTAACAGAGATTAATACATTAAACATATAAAGAATTTATAACAATTCTGATATTAATAATATTTATAATAATTAAAAAAGTATATTAAATGTATTTTTTAACAAAATGAAAAATTATGAAAAATTACAAATTTTTCTATTATATTTGAAAGTAATATAAAAGTTTAGCGGCAATTTAGAATCTGGGTCCAACATTGTTTCAGTAAAAAGTGGACATGTATTTAAAAAATAATTAAAATATAAAATGAGAAATTGTTTGTATAAGCTATAAAACTGTAAATATAAATATTAACTTTATTGAACTGTTTCACGTATAAAACATTCATTTTTATACGGAAAATATAAATTTCCAATGATTTTTTGCAGAGACTGTACCTGATATATTTTTAAATGTCTCAGAAAGAAAGTGATATCAAGAATATAATCTATTTTTAATTATACAATAAAGTATGATATATATTATAAAATTAAAAAGATTAAGATACATAATAATTTAACTTTATCTCAAGCGTGTTACATATTAGGTGTTGAACTTAATTCCTGCCGGTTTTCGTCT